GTTATTGGGTACAGATTTAGTTCAGGAGGCCTTGGATAAGGTCAAGATCATTTAGGACAGGCTTCATTCGGCTCAGTCGTGGCAAAAGAGTTATGCGGATCGTAAGGTTCGAGATGTAGCTTTCATGGTTGGTGAGCGGGTCTTGCTCCGAGTGTCGCCTATGAAGGGCGTGATGAGATTTGGGAAGAAGGGCAAGCTTAGCCCTAGGTTCATTGGCCCATTTGAGATTCTCGATCGTGTGGGAGAGGTGGCTTACAGACTTGCCTTGCCGCCCAGCTTGTCAGCCGTGCATCCAGTGTTTCATGTGTCCATGCTTCGGAGGTATCACGGCGATCCAGCCCACGTATTAGATTTCAGCACTGTCCAGTTGGACAAGGATATGTCTTATGAGGATGAGCCGGTAGCTATTCTAGACCGGCAGGTTCGACAGTTGAGGTCGAGGAGTTTTCCTTCAGTGCGTGTCTAGTGGAGAGGTCAGCCTCCTGAGGCATCGACCTGGGAATCCGAGTCTGATATGCGGAGCCGCTATCCTCATCTATTTCCGACTCAGGTACTTCTTTCTTTTGTCCGTTCGAGGACGAACGGTTGTTTTAGAGGTGGAGGATGTGACGACCCAAAGGGTCATCACTTATTTCCTCATTCGTTCTGTGCTTACGAGGCCTTGAAAACCTTACTTTTAGTTGCCTCGATTTGCGTGCACAGTCCGAGCGCGTAGCCGGAAAGCTTTTATGTTGAAACATGTGGATTCTGTGAAAAATTTGAAGAATTTTGATACTAATATGATTAAAGTTGACTTTGGTCAACATTTTGGGTAAACGGACTCGGACCCGTGATTTGACGGTCCCGGAGGGTCCATAGAAAAATATGGGACTCGGGCATATGCCCGAAGTCGAATTCCGAGGTCTAGAGCCCGAGAAATGAATTTTTCTGTGAAATTGTTTTTCTGAAATTATTAACGAAAATGGAAATGAAAATTGATTAGAAAGCATTGGTATCGGGCCCGTATTTTGGTTCCGGCGCCCGGTACAGGTCTTATATGTGGTTTAAGCGCTTTCTGTGAAATTTGGTTGAAATCGGGCGTCGTTTGACGTGTTTCGGACCTAAATATCTAAAAAAATGAAAGTTTATGAAGTTTGATGAAAAAGTGACGATTTTGAGGTTTGATTCCTCGTTTATGATGTTATTTTGGCGATTTAATCGCACGGTTAAGTTCGTAAGANTGTGGTTGAGTTAGTGTGTGTGTTTGGTTAGGGGCCCCGAGGGCTAGGGAGTGTTTCGGAGGTGGTTCGGGGTGTTTTGAACTTAGGAAAAGGTTGCAGAAATGTTCAGTTCTGATATCTGGTATGTTGTTCTATGCGATCGCATAGGAGCTTCCGCGATCGCATAGTGTAAATCTTGAAGTGCCCAGTTTTGTTCTATGCGATCGCATAGTAGACTCCGCGATCGCATACCTCAGCCAATTCCTTATATGCGATCGCACCCTTCCCTCCCGCGATCGCATAGTGCTAGCCTGAGAAGCCCTCCATTTTCCTCTATGCGATCGCATAGACCAGCACGCGATCGCAGTGAACATTTTCCCCTTCCTCTATGCGATCGCATTGCCTTATCCGCGATCGCATAGACCAATTTTGCCCAGTGATTTTTTTTAAGTTTTCAGAAACAGTAGCTACGGGTCTCATTCAAAAACACACGAGCTCTCTTCTTCCTCAAGCACTTAGGAGTCCATTGAAGCCTCCATTCTTCAAGACCACTTGGGTAAGCAAATTCCCACTTGTTTCCTTCATTTTTTCTTCATCATTCATCAATTCCTAGGCTCAAATCATGTAATCTAGGGTTGAAATTGGGGAAAATGGGTAGTGTTAGGGCTTTTCTATTTTCTTCGATTTAGACCTCGTTTTGGGGTCGAATTTGAAAATAAATTGTATATTCGGGCTTGTGGGGGAATGGGTGACATGGAATTGGTTCGAATCTCGTGTTTTAACCAAGCGGGCCCGGGGTCGATTTTGGAATTTTTGGAAGAAAGCTTGAAAATTCATATTTAGGCATTGGGTTTAGTTTGTTTAGCTATTATTAACATTTTAAGGTCATTATTTCATAGATTTGACCGAGTTGGAGCCGAATTCGAGGGGTAAAGCTATACTAGAGGCTTGAGTTGAGTTAGCATTCGAGGTAAGTGTTTGGTCTAACTTTGGCTTGAGGGAATAGGAGTAGAGTCTTATTTGCTAATTGCTACTTGTCGAGTACGGTGTATTGGCATGGTGACGAGTATCTATACACTGGAGTCGAGCATGACCGTGAGTCCTAAACTGCTAAATTATCGAATTCTTGATTGTTGTTTACGAGGACTTGGTTGGAAATCTTTAACACTAAGCCAGTAATTGTTGAGACTGAGTATTCATTTAATTGTGTTAAGTAGAAATTAATAAGTTTTGTTATAGCTGGATCTCCCTTGCCGGGATAGTTTATTATAACATCTTTTCTCCCTTGCCGGGATTATTTTGTGTATTCTGTTGAAAGAAATGGGATCATGTGGCACGCTGACCATGAGATATTATGAAATGGGAGCGAGTGGTACGCCTACCACGTGATATTATGAAATGGGAGCGAGTGGTATGCCTACCACGTGATATTATAAAATGGGAGCGAGTGGTACGCCTACCACGTGATATTATGAAATAGGAGCGAGTGGTACGCCTACCACGTGATATTATGAAATGGGAGCAAGTGGTACGCCTACCACGTGATATTATAAAATGGGAGCGAGTGGTACGCCTACCCATGTACACTTACCAGCACATGGGGTCGGTTGTGCTGATGCTACACTCTGTGCATCTTTTTGCACAGATCCGGGTGTTGGAGCAGCATTTGAGTGGCAGTAGCATTCTGGGAGCGAGCTTTTAGTCCAGGGATATTCGAGGTAGCCTTGCTGACGTCCGCAGGCCCGGAGTCCCTTTCTATTTTATTCAGTTTGTTATCATTGTACCGAAGCAGATAGTCTTATGTTTCATTCAAACCTTGTATTTAGTATTCGGTAGAAGTTCGTGAGTATTGTGACACCAGTCTTGGGTAGAGGATTAGTTAAATTTCCGCATTTCTTTCAGTTAGCTATATTTGAGACTTCCGCTTTATTATTAAATGTTTCATTATTTCTAATATTGTCGTAGTTCGTTAGAAGAGGTAATTGATAATTGGCTTGCCTAGCTCCTATTAGTAGGCGCCATCACGACTCCCGAGGGTGGGAAATTCGGATCGTGACAGGGTACTAGGAGGGGATTAAATTCCTTAATGAAACACTGTGAATTCAGTGGGCTCGGATTAATTTGTGTTTCATTTATATTTCTGTTTATATATTGTTTTATCTTTTCCAGAATTAGTTTACAAATACAGTCTACTAACATTTAGTTGCTTACATTTTAATTCATTCAAATTCTTAAGTTTAAAAAAGTTAATTAAATTACAATGTGAAAATTTCTATTAAAACATGACGACTCAAGAAAAAAAGATTGTTCTCTAGAAAGTCATGCTCCCTTTGATTCGAGACTATATTTTTGAGATCACAACCTAACCAATATAAAATATTATCAGTTCTTACCCTTCAACGTGCAGCTATTTTGAATATCAAAGTGACCTTGAAATTAAATTTCATCTTAATCTTAATCAATGTAACAATTCAAATTTTATCTTTCCAGATTTCTTTCTTTTGACTTCCATGTCACTACCTTTTAAGCTTTGAGGTTTTCCCTCAGACACAAATTTAACTTGACTTGAAAATGTAATTATCTAAGAATAAGGATTTTCAACTACCAGCTCTTTAATTTTTATATGATGTGTTATGTGTATGTATAACAAAGTAGTTTCTTTTTATTTGTCTAAATTTGGTGAATAAAATTATCAGTATTTGTGCTTGTAGGAGATAATAAGTATCCGATAAATATTCGATATACGTGCAAGCAGATCAGACACCACTATTGTAAAATAATATTTATATAACAAAATATAGTAGATCAATAATTTCATACACAATATATCATAGTATGACACGAAAAAAGAATTAGGATTAAAAGAATGAAAACAACACCGATAGTACTTGTGAAAACAAAAACAGCCTCAGACTTATACAACCAGAAAAATTTCAGACCAGTTGGAGTCAGTGTTTGTTGTGAAAACAAAAAATAGCGACTCTAATATTTTACCCAAAACATAAAACTCTTTCAAATAAATACAAATATTGTTTGAAGTATAAAATTATAAATTTGATCCATTCTTGAAATGCATGGAATTAATTTGTGGGAATAGTAGTTACAAGCTCAGGAAGAAAATTACTCGTAGAAAGACTATCTTAGTGTTTCGTGTAAAAAGGTCAGCCGACGAAACCATTCATATGGTAAAAGATTGGACAAAGTTTTCTCATCTTTTGGAGATTATAGTGCTGGAACTGGAACTTCCAGAAAAGAGAATATTTCTTTTTGAGCAAAAATTTTAACTTTCAAAGGCCTATATGGTAGGCAAAACTTTCACGTCGGCCTATAATACTTTGCACAATTTAAATGAGGTAACAATTTGTAGCCGTGAAATCTTTTAAATGAGGTAAGGATTTTATACAGGTGAAATCCAACTTTGATTTTTAAAGTCCTAGATATAAGGGTTTCATGCATAATTTAAATAAGGAAAGATTTAATAATTAAATTTTTAGTTAAATTTGAAGTCTTAAATATTAGAAAAATAATTTAATTATAATTTTATCTTATGTGCACTATTTTTTAAGGGTAAAAACGACGAACGATATTTGTGCAGATAAGGTCGCACAAGGATAAATACTTATCACGCAGTATCTATATCAATTCAATAAATACATAACATAGGTTCAATTTTTATAGGGAAGGGACCCCTTAATTTTCGTCGGGCGGAAACTGGTAAAGTCAACAAATGCAAATTAATAGCACACATTTCTATATTGTTTGGTGTGAGTATTTAAGGACTTGGCCCGGCCGCAGCCGCACCAACTTTATTTTAATATCTAAAGCTAAAGTGTGTATTCTTCCTCTTAAGTATCAAAGAGCTATAAAAGAAGAAGAAGAAGAAGATGCAGAAAGTATTTGCAGTGAGGTCCTTAATCTCTTCCTTTGTTAGAAACTCCAAACCACAACAAGCTGCCTTTTCTACTTCCTTACTCTTGGATGATACTCACAAACAGGTCAAACTATTCCTTCTTATCTTCCTTACTTTTGAGGGGGTAACTTGTACCGTTACAAGATTATTTTATCTTCACTTTTCATTCTTTTTCTATGTTAAAAAATAAAGACCTCTAATAGTTTTTTTTGCTTAACTTTTTACAGTTTAAAGAAAGTGTAGCAAAGTTTGCTCAAGAGAATATAGCCCCTTTTGCAGAAAAAATAGACAGAACCAACAGTTTCCCAAAGGTTAAGAATTCATCTTTATTGCTATCTAAGTTTAAATATTTTAATCAAAACATAGTTAATGGAGATTAATTTGACTCCTTGTTTTCACTTCAGGATGTTAACTTGTGGAAATTGATGGGGGACTTTAATTTGCATGGAATAACAGCACCAGGTAAACAAGTCATCATATAATTACACAAATAGTAATTAGTTCCATATAAGCAATGTAGACAAAGGGAATAATAGATCATACCTATCCAATTGAAAGGATATTTAGCGTATAGGAGTATTATATCGTCTGTGGAGTCGTTGAAGAAAATGAAAGACTTAAATTTTATTTATGGCGGCTCATATATGATAAAGTTTCTCAAAGTATAAGGTAGGGGTCATAAATTCCTACTTTACTTTGTCCCTTTATTTTAGTACTAATATCTATCGATGTGCGTTGCACGTTAATAATAACACGTGATGATTTAAATATTTATTTGTATGAAGGAACAATAAAATTTAATTAATTAGAGAAATTTTATGTATAATAATACAACAATTATCTAAATGCCGAAAAATATTACTTACATTAGCATAATACATGAATTTAAAATAAAAGGACATCATCAAAACTTATACAAATGATCAATTTTGTCATGTTTAGATAATTATGTATTATAGTTTAAAAGTATTTAATGTGATGGTATCTTAACCAACACTTTTTTGTGGACAATATTTTTTGTATATGTTTCCTCCTAATGCTTTGGTTGCTCTACCTTAACCATAACTTTTGTTGTCGATCTTGATATGCCTCTTGAAACATACAGTTATTCATGTAAGAAAATATATTGTGGTAAATATAATCCAATATTTAGGATGTTTGGCCTTGTATTTTTTTTATTATATTTGCAAAACATAAACATACTAAAATTATTTTCACACAAATTTAAAAGGATAGTCCTTAGTTTCGAAAGATGAAAGTTGAATTCAGGGATAAGTTATACTTAGAAGCACATTGACCAGTATCATAATTTTTTGCATGTACGGTATTATTGTCAAAAAATATATATACCATGTGTGTGCTATTATATAAGCTATTCGGCGTATCTAAGTTTTTCAGTAGTATGACAGACAATTTTTTCTTCAATCAACATATATAAAATGGAAGATCAAGATATGCCTCTTGAAACATACAGTTATTCATGTAAGAAATAATAAACTTGACAACAAACATGTATGGTAGAAGGTCATTTGGTATTGAAGTATTTAAGTGTTCTTCTTGGTAGTAATTATTAGTATTATTTTCTGCTGAGTCAAAAACAAAAAAACTTTTTGTTTTATTTTAAAATTTTGCAATCAACATTTTACTTAGTCGATCAACATATTCACTTCTACTAGCTAAGATATCCTTTTAATTCTATTATTATGATTTGCACAAATAGCATTTTAATCTAATGATAGAAATATTTCTCTTATTAAATGCACTACTATTACCATTGGGATTGATAACCAAGTGTTCAAGAAGACCCAAATCATCTTTTATTGGATGCTCTTCTTCGTTTCCGACACGAAGCAAGAAGACACTGAATATTGGATCTGTTGTTACTTTATATTTCTTGTTAATTGAATCTTTTTCATTTGAGGCCAGAAGTATAACCTTGCCAAGCTAGCTTTTACAGCCTCTTCTTTTGTCGATTTTGGAACTATTGGTAGTACTTGACATAAATTATCTCCCAAACCATTAAATTTCCATCGTACGGTTCATTAATATCCAATATATCTCTAGAACTCCAAGCAATTATTTCGATCGTTTGACACTTAGCCATAAGTGTTTCATCCCATATTATCAATTTTGCTTTCCTTATAAATTTAGCATCATTGCCCTGCTTTCATATATTTGAGATGGTTGTTTATGTTTTTTGAAGAGTATATCAAATCTAAAGTGGGTGGTCTCACAATAAAATTATTGTTGGTACACCACTTGCTATTATTGCTAACAGTGTCATGCCTCTTGATATGATATTTGCAAGTAATGCATGACATAGAAATATTATTTCGATTCTGCCGGAGGCATCTAGAAAGAATAATCCCGTTATAGCAGAGTCGATTCTTTATAATATAATTTTGAAAGCTTGTTCTTTTTTAGGATTTAGCTTTGATTGTGCTTCTTCAGACACTTGTATAGCATTTTGATTCTTAATTATATATTAATATTTTTACTTTGTGTTCTAATGCTCTTTTTATGGAATAAATTTATGTACCCTAAGATTTTGTAACTTGAATAAGAATGTTAGTCATATGATGAATTTAAAAAATAATTGAATTGGATTCTCTTGCTATATAAAATTAAAAGATTTAATTATTTGATTTTAAAATAAAAAATAATTTATTTTATGCATATTCAGATCTTAATATTAGTTCATCTCTTATTTTGAATATTTAATCTTAATTATAGTTTTATCCACCATAAATTTTATTTTCAAAGAGTAAAATATTGATATGACATTTCACTTTTAGACCTTTATGTCTGTAGAATCATTAGTGGTATTGACTCTTACGAACCATTTTCTTTCTCTTTCTCACACATTTATATTCTTAAAAATTTTCTTACTTGTTGTTTAATAATTGGGTATTTTTTTAATATTACACGAAAAATTGTTTAAAACATATATTATTTGAGTAGAAAAATAGTTCAAATATAATATAAAAATATATTATCGTGGGGGTCTTTTTTCCCCTCAATTTCAATTTTTTATGCGGTCCATTTAATAATTTTTTCTTTTTGGTATTGGACATTATGGAGTGATAATGTATCGCCAATACGGAGAATTCTGATGAAATTGATTTTATTAAGCCTTCATACATATTCTTAGTGAGTATTTAATAGACCAAATTTTATTAGTTTTAAATATTAAAAATTAGCATAGAAGGTATTGTAGTCCAAAAAATAAGTTATTGCAGTTATGTCTTTTCCCAATGAGTTCTTCTGTTTAATATTTTAGGGCTACTTTGGTATATTAATATTATATTTATGTTTTTATAATAATATGGGCTCTCTTTTTTCTAAACGGATTTGGACAATATAATACATTCTCAAATTAAATTAGTAATAGGACATTATAATAATTTTCAAATTAAAATAGTAATAGAAATTTTTAAGAAGTATATCCTAAAAGTAATAGATTACATGACTAAAGATATTTACTTGTTCAATTTTATATGAATTTGACAGCCCGAAAGTAATTATACTAATAGGATTCCTAACGTGTAGTATTATGTCCTAAAACTAATAGGATTATAACGCTAATTTCTAGAATACCGGTAATGTCCTTTTATTATGAGTTATTATACTTAATATTATAAGGTTATTTTTGTAAACCGACAAGTTAGGTTACTTATCATTAGGACATGACATTAGCTTGGAGTCACGATGTAATTTGTAAGAATTTTTTATTTACTTACTATATTTCAAAACGCATGAAATTAGAAATAAGTAAGGATAGATTAATCTCGGTATGTGCATTGTTTATGTACCCCATCAATAACTATTCAGAGTTGAAAACTCACATAAATTTTACATTAAACAACATGTTTGATTTATGAGATGAAAAGTAAATAAAATTTTCTGTAAATGTTAAATATTGATTCTATTTAAATAATTAAAGATAGAAATAAAATAAAATATTTTTAAGACTAATTTTAATTAAAATCGACATAAAATGCAACTACAACTTTTATGAAGGAACTGTATGTTGTTCAAAGGAAAAAAAATCCTTCAATTTCTAATATAAATAAAGAAGGTAAAATATATATACTATTATTCAATTTTAAAACGTTGAGTCAAAGTGGACTCTTGCTTATAATCTTTCGATTTTTTTTAACTCCAAATTTTTTCGAAGCCTTTCCATACGAATTTAGACCATTCTCTCTTTATTCTTCCAATACAAGGTTAAATTTCATAATTTTCATTTATGAATCTTACCTAGTTCAATAAGGAAAGATTTAATAACCAAAATTTAGTTAATTTTAAAGTCCTAGATATTAGTGTGTAGTGTTATGTCCTAAATCTAATAGGATTATAGAGCTAATATCTAGAATTCCGGTTATGTCCTTTTATTATGAGTTATTATACTTAATATTATAAGGTTATTTTTTTATACCGACATTGTATTCATGCTTTTATAATAATAGATTAGATATTCCAGCGTAATGGGTCCTTTTTATTCTCAATTTAGCTAAAAAAAATTGTTAAATTAAGCATATTACTCCCTATGTTTTAATTTATATGACACAGTTTGCTTATCGAAAGTCAAATTGACTAATATATGAAGCTCGATTACATTAGTCCAACTCGATGTTCTAAAATTAAAATTTGTATTTTAAAATTATACGATAAGTACTATAAGTTGTAATTGTTCTCATGTGAATATCATTAAAAAAATATTTTTAAAATGTTGGTTAAATTTCAAAAAGTTTGAATCTCGAAAAGCAAAATGTTTTATCAATCCAAAAAATCCGTCTAAATTGTTCTATATACCTGACCTTTTTATTAGCTGTAGTTTGTAATTAAAGGCAAAACTAAATTTAAAATAGGCTGCCTACACATTGAAGAGGGCGTGAAGCCATCAAATCCGAGGAAGATTTTCAGTATTAGTTAAATTGAAAGTTAAGATCCAAAGATTCTTGATTTTTATTTTTGCATAGTACATGGGGACCCACCCCTAAAAGTAGGACCATTTAATCAATACACGCCTAAATTATTTTAATCCTAATTACATTTAGTCAAAATGGCAAGGCATAGCCGTTTTAGGGGAAGTTATTGAAAAATAGCCAGTGTGTGCAAAATTAGTGAAAAGTAACCACTATTTAATGTGGAGATAAAATTTGGATACCAGTACTCCAGCTGAAACACAAAATGTTTCAGCATAATATGTTGGATTATGGAATTCATGCGCATATATTTCCAGCATATTATGAATTTAAGCACATTAAATAAATAAAATTGAACTCCAACATATTGTGCTGATTTTTTCGGATTTTTAGAGTGTTTTTGCTCACATTTTATTTTTACATGAAAAGATAGCTAAATTTCGATTAATTTTGAAACTATGGCTAATTTCAGTTAGCAGTTGTAAATGTGACTATTTGTGATTTCCCCCCCTTAAATTTACCTTCCTGAGTTAGTTTTAATTAAATTATTTTGATAGTTTTAATAAAATTTACCAATGATTTTCTTCTTAATTGGTAGAGGAATATGGAGGGCTGAATCTTGGTTATTTGTATCACTGCATTGCCTTGGAAGAAATTAGTCGTGCCTCTGGTGCCGTTGCCGTTTCCTATGGTGTTCAATCCAACGTTTGCATTAACCAATTGGTAATACTCCACTATATATGACTCAGGAGTTTTATCTTTTTCCACATAATATTAAGTTTATATTTATAAGAATTTTCACTCTATCAACTGTCACGACCCAATTTCCATACCCGGTCGTGATGGCGCCTCTCGTGAAGACAAGGCCAGCCAACTAACCCAATCCGTTTCTTTAACAATTATTAAACATAAATGTATAGATAAATATAGCTTAACGACAATAATAACCAGTATGTACAACCCAACACAACCCGACCGGGGTGTCACAAGTCACGAGCATCTAAAGAAACCTGAACACAACTACAGGGCCAATATTATACAAAAATAAATTCTGGAATGCTAAAGACAACGTCCGGTGTCGCGAACGCTGGCGGTCACCTTACTCAGCTACAATAGTAATACCTTCAATCAGCTAATAACCCGCTACCGGGTGAATGATACCTGCAACTGCACGCGAGGTGCAGGGAGTAAAGTGAGTACTTCCAACTCAGTGGTAATAAGAGTAAATAATAACTGAGAGGCAAGAAATCACGTAAGAGCACTCCATCATGCTATATAGGACAGTACCACTCTTTGAGAAAACAGTAAAACCGTGAAAATCCTTTAGAAAATATCTGGCTCAGTTTAAAACCTCTTTTGAAAACATCCTTTTCCAACAGTCAAGCAAATGAACACATAATCAGATAGTGCAAGTCCGCACATAAGACAGCCCCTCGGGCACAGCACTCCACAAACAGTTAACACCAGGGCGTCTGGTAATCAGTTCAAGAAGTAGCATGGATGCCAATGATATGAGAGTGCTAAATGTCATGACACGTAGTACAAACAGGAACCAATACATGAATGCAATGCAATGCATATGACCGCTGCGGCGTGCAGCCCGATCCATTTGGGTACCCGCGCTCACTGGGGGTGTGTACAGACTCCGGAGGGGCTCCTACAGCCCAAGCGCAATATCATCATAGTATCGCTGCGGCGTGCAGCCCGATCCATATTCAGTCCAGATCAATGCAAATGAGCCACTCGGGCAATGTCAAGTAATAGCTTTTAACTCAAAATATCAGAAAATGCAATTTAAGTCTTTAAACTTTAGCAATATGACTGCACATTTCAAAACTGTGTTTAACTCAGGATTGAAGTCATTTAACATGCTAAGTGTCATGAAAACAGTGATAACAATCCCTAAAGGATTCAAATAATCGGCACGAAGCCCAAAACATGGCAATCAGCCCAAATCACGATAGCATCAAGTAGGTTTCAGTCAATTACGCAGTAAAATCAACAACCGGGACGGACCAAGTCACAATCCCCAACGGTGCTCTACCCCACGCTCATACCTGGCGTGCAAGTCACCACAATACAGCACTATGATGTGCAAATCCGGGGTTTCAAACCCTCAGGATATCATTTACAAGTATTACTCACCTCGAACCGGCGAAATCTCTAGCCCGCGACGCCTTTGCCCCTCCAATCGGCCTCCACGTGCGTCGAATCTAACCAAAATCAAAGCGAATACATCACACTATGCCAAGGGAACAATACCCAATCGAAAACAATCAAAATATAGCAAAAATCTCGAAACTAGTAAAACCCGAGCCCCGGGCCCACTTCTCGAAAAATTACAAAACTCACATTACCGGATTCCTCGTCTCGCCACGAGTTCATACATACCAAGAACTCCCAAATCCGAGCTCAAATGGCCTATCAAATCTCAATTTAAAATATCAAAAACTCAAGCCCTAGCTTTACCCCTTTTTGAAGAATTTCAACCAATTTCCATGTTAAATCTATCAAAGTTCCATTTATTTAGGCCAAGGGACTTACCTCCAATCACACCTAGTCGAAATCCCCCTTCAATTCCGTCCAATAGCTCCCAAGCTCGCTTAAAAATGGTGGAAATAACATAGGTTTCGCGGAACAAAAATGAATATAAAACCCTTCTGGCTCCAGGGGTTTCCACTTCGGCGGTCCCCACACCCGCTTCCGCGATACCGCTTCTGCGATTTTTGTCCGCTTATGCGGAATTTCATTAAAACTCAAGGGCCGCTTCTGCGACACAAATTTCCGCTTCTGCGGAAGCTCACCTCCTGGCCAAACCCGCTTCTGCGACCGCCTGTCCGCTTCTGCGGACTCGCTTAAGCGAAAAGTGTTCCGCTTCTGCGGAACTGCCCAACTCCACTCCAGACCGCTTTTGCGACCAAGATTACGCTTCTGCGGAACCGCTTATGCGGTCCATTTCCGCAGAAGCGAACATACCAGATACCAGCAAAATCTGCCATTTTCTCAACTTGAATTTCATCCCGATAGCCATCCGAAATCACCCCGAGGCCCCCGGGACCTCAACCAAAAGCACCAACATGTCTCAAAACATCATACGAACTTGCTCCAATCATCAAAACACACCTAACAACACTAAAATCATCAATTCACATCGGATTCAAGCCCAAGTTCTTCAAGAATTTCCGAAATGCACTTTCGATCAAAAACCCGACCAAACGATGTCCGAATGACCTGAAAATTTGCACACATATCCAAAATCACTTAACGAAGCTACAGCAACTCTCGGAATTCCATTCCGACCCTCGGATCAAAATCTCACTTATCAACCGGATTTCGCCAAAATGCTAACTTCGCCAATTCAAGCCTAATTCTACACCGGACCTCCAAAACCAATTCAGATCACGCTCCCAAGTCACAAATCATCTCCCGAAGCTAACCGGAAATCACATCCGAACCTTCGAACTCATAAGTCAACGTCCGGTTGACTTTTCCAATTTAAGCCTTCCTTAAAGAGACTAAGTGTCTCATTTCCTATCCAAACCAATTCAATTCAACTCTAACTCACTCGTTGCTGATAATGAAACATGAAGAAGCAATAAATGAGGAAAACAGGGCGGTAATACCTGATACGACGGGTCGGGTCGTTACATCAACTTAATAGTACGGACATGTTCAAATAGTTGTAGTATACACAGTGACAGGACAATTTGATGACAATTTGTAGGTGAGAAATGGAACTCCTGAGCAGAAGCAAAAGTATTTGCCAAAGGTTGTTGCTATTTCCATTATGTTCAAACTCCTATACACTGTCGTTATATATTTGAATGCATAAAATTATGTTTGTATATAACGCTTGAGTAACGATTTAACGACTTTATTTTGTGAAGCTTATCAGTGGGGATCACATTGGGGCACTAGCCATGAGTGAACCTAATGGTAATTTATTCATTTTAACTGGTAATTTATAGTTAATTATCACCTTGTTTTTCTCATTTACAAGGTGTTTTTGGTTTTGATATTGCTCAGCTGGGTCAGATGTTGTTAGTATGAAGTGTCGAGCGGATGGTGTGGAAGGTGGCTATGTCTTAAATGGGAATAAAATGTGGTGCACCAATGGTCCTGTTGCAAACACTTTGGTACATATCTCTTCAATCTTGAGGAGTTGAAAGTTTATTGTCTTATTCATTATTGTGAAGTTTAATTTCGTGAATCAGATTGTATATGCAAAAACTGATACGACTGCTGGTTCAAAAGGAATTACAGCATTTATCATTGAGAAAGGAATGTCAGGGTATGCACCTCTCACTCATACAAGCTAAGTTGTAAATGATTTATGCATTTTGAATTTTCATATAGAGAGAGTATGCATTTTTGCTGAAAATGCAGATTCTCTACTGCTCAGAAGTTGGACAAGCTCGGGATGAGAGGAAGTGATACGTAAGTTAAATCATAGGATTATAATAGTCAGAATGCAGCATTGGCGAAAACGGTCCAAACATACTCTTAACATGGTGCAAAAATTAAGTGATCAATTGTACTCAAATTTGTAGGTGTGAACTTGTATTTGAGAATTGCTTTGTCCCTAAAGAAAATGTTCTAGGCCAGGAAGGAAAAGGTAAGAATTTATTTAATAATCTCAACATAAACTTTGGCAATGCGGTGTAACTTGACAATTTTGTTTTTTTAAAACTGAACAGGAGTCTATGTTCTGATGTCGGGGCTAGATTTAGAAAGAGTTGTTTTAGCAGCAGGACCTGTTGGAATAATGCAAGCATGTATGGATGTTGTTTTGCCTTACGTTCGACAAAGGGAGCAATTTGGAAAACCAATTGGCGAATATCAACTTATACAGGTATTTTCACTTTATACTATTGTTATTATTATTTCGAGAGTCAAACAATTTTTTCTTCGATTAACAAATATACGATATGGTCACCCTACTCAACCTGATCTGATAGCTGTGGCTGTTAACTCTGTCTTCTTAAAATCCCTTAAAAATGATGCTGACATTTTCCTTGCAGGGAAAACTTGCTGATATGTACACTGCTTTACAATCTTCAAGGTCAGAATTTCCTGGATTTTACAAAGAAAAAAAATAAAGTTTTGGTAGAGAAACTAACAAATTCATGCAAATTTGCAAGCATTATTGAATATGAAACGAATTAAATCAATGTGTTTGTTCATTTGTAGTATATATATTCTTATTCCTATGTCATATCTAGTTGTTTTCCTTGGATATTTCAGAGCATATGTCTATGCTGTTGCAAAGGACTGTGACAATGGAAAGATAGATCCCAAGGTCCTTTGACTCTTTCCCACAGCTATATATTTCCCCTTCTTTTGTCATTTATACATTTTGATTCCCCTTACCAGCAACCTCGCCTAGTGCGGTTTGTATCTCCTATGTGATTTGCAAGCTATTGCACAGTGAACAAGCACCCGAAGGATAGCGGCTGCGGGTTTCCCTGGAAATTTTTCAAAAAAGAAAACTTACCCTCTAAATTATATATTATCAGGATTCTTCAGGGGTCATACTTCTCGCAGCTGAAAGAGCCACTCAAGTTGCTCTTCAGGTGATAAGCTTTCTTAGTAACGTAATTTTCTCTCTACAACTATATAATTTAAATGGAAGTCTAATAATATGCCTAATTGACCAATTGCAGGCTATTCAATGTCTAGGTGGGAATGGATATATAAATGAGTACCCAACTGGACGTCTACTGAGAGATGCCAAAATGTATGAGATTGCAGCAGGGACTAGTGAAATCAGAAGAATTATTATAGGTCGTGAGCTCTTTAAACATCAATAACTCCAAAATTGGTATTAATGGACATGTTTAATCTCTAATAGTAACAAGTTTCGGATTCATATCATATATTGCTGCATATATAATAATTTCCATTGACGGATATGCCTTTTGTCTCGAATAATAACTCCCTTTTTTTGCATATTTTGCTTTATTACTATTGGCTATTCAAGTATAGCCAATCCGAGATGATACTTCGACCAGTAAACAACTCATTTAAGATAAACTTTACAATTTAGCTTAGGTATAAATCTCATATGTTGATTAACAATAGGTAATCTTATGTAAGCCAAGACTCCTCTCCACTGTGTGCCCCTAGGTCTTGGATCTTGTTCGATAAATTTGAAGTTGAGATAAAAGAGTATTTGAAATTGAAAAAAAAAATTATGAAAGTTGAAGTTGTATTTAGCTTGGGAAAAAAGTTAAAATCTTGTGGGTGAGAATATTATTCCACTTGAAATACTCCTCAAATCAGTTTTCAACGTCAAGTTCTTTATTCCAAGTCGGACTTGAAATAATCTACCAAAATTGCAAAACAATCATTACTTTGCAAATAATATTGGGAAATTACCAGTTATGTCCTTTTATAAGTAGCTTATTATAAAAAATGGCCAATTCATAAAATATTGTTAATATTAGCCAATTAGCTATTTATAGCTAAAAATGGTCAAATTTTTTGCTTTCTTTTGAGTCGGTATCAATAGAATAAATTAGGGTACATCTTAAGAAGATTGAATCTCAGTTTTGGGTTGATTTGGTGGAGTTTTGAGGTGGTTTGAATTGAAAATTCGAAGTAGAAGATGAATATGAAGAGAAAAAAAATGATATGTGTGTCACATATGTATCATATTTGTATCAAACGTATATCACATGTATATCCATGTGTGTGAGATACATGCGTGACATATGTCGCAGAACAATATTTTGACTTGATTTTAACTACGAATTTTAATACCAAATCAGTCCAAATCACCTCCAATCTTCCTCAAATTTGTATATTGACTCATATATATATATATATATATATATATATATATATCTATGTATTCATCCCTTTTTGCTACCTCATCCATTAAATTTCCTTCCGACATGCATCTACTATTGTTGATCACGCTTAAAATTATGGAAGGAGATCTTTGCATGTAATTCTTGGAAAGGAAAAACCTTACTTATTTGGATTTTTAATTTTCATATATGATTGGCTAGTTTTGATAAATCTGATTAATGGCTAGAGATTGGTTAGTTTGGAACTTATTTGGGACATTTTTGTAAGATTTCCGATAATATTTCAAGTTAAAGTTTGAACCATGCTCCACGCTCATTCTGGCAACACAATTTTGGACGCTAAGCCACCCAACAAATCCAAGACCATGAAAAATAACAGATAATAAAATAGAAATTATGAAACTCAGTTACCTCCAAGTCAAAACTTTTTTGTTTTTTTCTTTTTTTCTTTTTTCTTTTTTATTTTTTATTTTATTTTGATTAAAAACTCTTCCCGTATGTACACCCTTAAACAATCCTAAAATGAAGTACAAGAGAAAACCACAAGGTAAAATGCCCATGGGAAAATTTTGGTCGGCCTCGGAGGTAAGAATAACTTCACAGAGGCACTATATACAAAAATTTGCCTTGAATCTTGATCATCTCTGAAAGGTAATTCGCCAACTTGAGCTCATTGTATGGGAAGGCTTCAAAATTTGCGACAGACAGTTCAATGAAGCTGAGAGTCACGCGTTGGCTAATGACCGTCCTCCTTCACGTTTGCAGTTGCCCCTCTGGCATGTTTGAAGTCATCCAAACTACGAAACTCGTCTCTGAGTAGCCTATCTAGTTCCTGATGCTTCTTCAAAGGTGCTTTCTGACCTCGCTGCTGACGAAAATGGTGAAAAGCCCTTCAAGAAGGATTGCAGTAGGATCACGTTAATATATCCATGAGGTACGAGATAGTACCCAGCAATAACAATCACGTTAGTAAGAGCAAAATATACTAGCAATTGGAAGTCCAACAAAATCTGGAAATCAGCAATAGCAATGTTAATCTACATATTATCTCCTAAAACTAACTCTACATCAGCCCTTTCACAACACCTCCCCCCGACCCCGAGCTTCTCCCTTGACACAGGGAAAGAGTGGTCAGATGCATGTGCTCCTTTTGTCCATTGCCCCTTCAGATATATGGGGCACCCTTCCCACTTTTTTATGACCGGTAACTTTGTCTGGGGCCAACATTTAGGACCAACCGCAGCCTTCGAAACTCGGAGATGGTGGCCCACTCCTCTACCCTTCTCCACTTAAATATCAGGCTTCGTGTGCTTCGCATAAGGCTCGAACCTGTGACCTAAGTCACAAGTCCTCAACCTTTGCCAATTGAACTAAGCCCTAGCTCCCCCCACCCCCCACCCACACCCACACTTTTTGTTCGATAATCACATAGAATTCAAGTCTACGTTAGGTATAGGGTTTGTTTTACTTAATCGAAAGTGTTCAAGGGCTCAATTGGTACAGACATTGATTTCAAGTTCATTATTGGTTCCCAGTTCTTTTCAGTCTCATGGGTGTCACTAAGAAAGCATGCGGAAGAAAAGGGGACTGAAATGAGGATTTTTAAACAAGGTTAAGGTAATTACCAGTACTTTTCAAGGCCATAAAGATTTCCTTTATTGTAAAAGTCAAGCGTCAATCGCTCGAAGTCCTCATAAAGATCCTCCCTAAATTCCTTTTCCAAACCATAACTGAAACAAGAAAAACAGTACAATGAGTATCTAAAGAAAGTATGTCCGAGAAGGAAAGGGCAACTAACTGCTGAAAAGGATAACTGCTGAAGTTGCATCACATGGAGGTGTACTAGAAAAGTACCAGCTGTAAGAGTTCAAAAGTAAAAGGGCAGCAAACTAAACTGTCATTAACAATGGGATGTAACCATACCTTTTTTTTTAGAAGGACATGTAAACCATACCTATAAAATCTAAACAGACACTCCATCCCATAGTTGTAATTAGCAGCAGCATCTTCTTGAGCCAACTTTTGGAACTCATTGTACATAGAATGTATAAACATGTTTCGCAGAAAATACGACCAAAACCTGTACAGTGTATTCATTTCCTGCATGCCAAAAAGATAAGAACCCTTTTGAGAGTTAAAATTAAGCACTTTAGGCACGCAAATGGATGGCCAAATGGGCAGTAGGCGGACAAATAGATACATCATACATGTGTATACACAGAGAGATGAGCCAGAGACCTCCACTATGAGTTCACACGATTGAAGAGGAAGAATATTGCTATTTCAAAAGTTTGGAAGCATTCATGTGATTTACTTTCAACCGATATCAGATATGCAAATTCAAGAGAACTGTCATTTTTATAGAGATGTATTTTACATGTGGTTTTGTTAACAAACAGAACCTTTTAGGTGAAGAGAACAGTACTATTTGTAGATATTTATTGTATAGGAGGTGGATTATAAACAGACAGTCGCTTCTAGGTACTGAAATTTTTTTCTTTTCTTTTTATGAGTGCACGGGAAATTTTCAATTTGTGTAAATAGTTGGATAGATTTTTTGGAAACTTAATGTTAGAACATTCTAGTAAATTTTTGGCACTATCTTGGTGCAGCATGGAGTGACTTTTGACTTTTTTTAGAAGAAACGAAATGACTTTTGACTTGTCAAAACAAAAACCATAAAGGAACAAAATCAATAAGATAATCAAACAAATTTCACATTTTTCATATAAAGATAAGTTATATTTCCATATCTCACCCCCAAATGAACTTGCAGAATTGAAGTGATATTCCTCATTTTAAACCCTTTCTATAAGAGGCAATTCACTCTCATTAGATTTAATATAACTCCTCTTTGTTTCCTTTCTATCATCCTCAAGTAAAGGGTGATGCTATTTAGATACTGGTAAATCCAAACACAAGGAAATGCAGAACCAAAATTAAGGGAAAGTAGGCACCTCACTGCAACCAATTCCAAGCTTCTTGCGATCACTCAGACAGCGCTTATGATACTTCTTGTACCTAAAAGGTGGAAAACCCAAAACCAACACTCAGGAGGTAAGAGAAAATGCACAAGGAATATATGTATAAATCGGTGTACATGCAGATCTGTGCATGAACAAATGCATGCACATGAATACAAAATTCACAGAACATCAGTTCCTTGTAAAAGTAAATCTACTCACAGCTGTTGTGTAAAACCATTTTCTTGTAGAAGCTTATGACTAGGATGCTGGAAAGGTGGAAATGGTTTCGGCATGGAACCCACAGGCGGACTACTACTAGCAAGATTGCTATGCGGGGAGGCACTCAACTTTGAAGGCCTTGACCTGGAAACATAAGAGTGCATATACTAAGTTTACTGTTTGGCACACCAGAACCTTTTTTACAATTCTCTGATATTAATAGATTTCATAGACTTGCATTGTGCTATCTTTTCTTTTATTTTGATCATCATAGACTTGCATTCTTGCTCTTTAAGGAATAATTAAACAATCAAACATACAACAATATACACTCCGTTAGACCACGTCTAGGGATTCAGAACATACACATGACTGTCAGGAGGTGTAGAACCAAAGAAAAACCCAACTGAATCGCTAGGTGGGCTTTCAGATATTGTTCCTACACTGTTCCGAGAAATCCCATGATTTCGGTAATTTCCTGAAAACAGCCGCTGCTTATGTATTGAATGCGGTTTAGTAAATCCTTTGTTTTGCTTCCTTCGAGAATTAGAATTTCCAGTGCCTTCGCTGTTTTTTCCTCCAGAAGAATGATCAGCATTCTTTGATTTTGATAAAGCAGCAGCTGTACCAGAAGACCTCGTAATCTCATCTCTAGAGCCATAACTGGAGTTGTTAGATCTACGACTGGATCGTGTAGCTTTAAGCTCCTGAAAGATGAGAGTTTTCAAGACATTCTAATACTACATAAGTTGAATAAGCCGAGCATGATCCTAAAAAGCAACCACCAACCTGCTCATAGAAGTAGAGGCCATCATTTATTGCAGAAGCAAGCTCAGTAGATATTGGTTTTGATTCTTTTCCAACAGTTCCGGATACCTGAGATGTCCGAGTGTTCTGTATGCAAACCACACAGATGAGATAATTAGCCTAATTATACACTAATTCAGCTCAGTAGTGTAGAAGAAATAGAAGAAGGGCAACGGAAGTCCTGTGTAAACACAATAGCTCCTAAAATCATTTTCCACAGGCTTCTCCTGAGCTGCATCAGTCACAGTGTCTTAGCTTTTTCATGAATTTGGCCAAATTTTTGAGTCAATAGAACTGGTTTTCAAACTTATTGTCTCTCACCAATACAAATTATCCTACTCACTTATGCAAATTAAGGCTGGGCAAATCAAAATCTTGTAAGGACTAAGGAGTACACAAAGATAGAATCTAAGGAAAGCATCAATTGATACATACCAACCCCAGATATGGCTGTCATTAACAAGGATGGAAAGTTGAGATATCGAGCAAAATCTACATACATCACCAGTCATATTGACTAGACGAGTCCAAATTTGGAAGCATAAGAATCCTAAAAATCAGTCCCAAGTATACACTCAAAAAATAAGGGCTCATCAAAAAAATTCCAGCTCAATAAAAACAAAAAGCTTTTGAATTCAGCTATATCAATAAGGTCCATGCCTCCCTGAAGAGAAGTTGAGATGGTGGTAGCAATCCATCCATACACTAGGAATATAGTCCCATTTCTAAGTAGTATCGCATTCTACCAAATGCCCCAATAGTCCATATCCATATATGAATTGGACCACAGAGATCTGGTATTACAAATCTGTCTCACCATATCATTCACAGTCCTTAGCTTTCAAGTCTATTCTTGGTAACATAAACTCCACTCTTAAAGTTACGTTCCTATTTTGCCCATTAGGTCTTTTACTAGTATTTTGAGAATAGAAAAACTCTTGAGAGAGATTTGGGACCTCTTGGTTTGCATTCAACTTCAGATTACCTGTTTTCAAGAATAGGATTCTTAAGGGGTCATGAGCAGCCGCAGCAATAGAAATCGATTCCCTTATGTCAACTCATAAAGGTATCAGTGTTGGCGCTCTAACAATCAAACTTCACGAGGTAATCTTATACCAATAACTTGTTGAATCTTGTATACGGGAGTTTTCTCCCTTTGATTAATACAATTTACCTTATAAAAAAAACCAATAAATTGTCGAATAAACTAAGATGAAGCTCATCCTGTAACTACTTGCACTATGTAATAACTTCCTCTTTTTAAACGATGGTGCTCAAGTTAGCTTGAATGTAACTTGACTAATCTATCGAGCACTTTCTACCTCCCACCAGCACAAGTATTGGATAACTCTACTCACTAATCCCTATGAACTCACATAGTATAGCCTCAATTGCAATAGTACTTTGGTTGCCAAGGTTGTTACCCAACTCTTCATCCCTAGTCCATTCTTTTGGGGCTTACACTATGTAATAACTAACAAACAATAAACGAAATTTTGAATATGGCAGGCAATACATTTGTAAAGCGGCAACCTATAATTGTTTATTCACATTCTTTTAGAAACTCCTCCAACTCTCTTTTATTTGGAATAAAAAGCATTTAGTTGGTTGTTGGTCCACAATTGGCATAACATCACTTGCTAAACTTGACAATACCTTACACATCCTTAAGCCTAATCATCAGACTGTATAGGAAGGGCAACAACATATTTTTCTTTTCACTGCAAGCTAAAACAGCCTAAAATCAATTTGTTTGGTACATCAAATCTACTTGAGCAATTTTCCTGTTCCATCATGGTGTATTGCTCCAAGCCTCTTCCTAGATATCCACAAGACCAGGAGGTTCTATTTATTTAATAAATTTTCAATTCCTGTTTAGCTCCAGGGACACCTAGTCCTCTTATTTCTGTTTTTCATACCAAATTTTGATTTTCTTGTAATACGAATAAGTGGGTATTTAGGCAACTTAATAACCAATACTTCATGTAAGTAATAATAAGCTATAATCTTTTCATCTCCCAAGACCTCTTATATAGATTAAATAGTCAACAGCAGTTCATTCATGTCTACTACTTAGATGTGGTCAACTACCTGAGGCCCCACGTTGCCGAAGTACAAAATGATGCATAGGCATCAATTAGGAAATGAACAAAACATTGAATTATGTAATTCAAATCCCATGACTTCTTTCACTTGGAACAAATAGTGAATAGGACCTTCGACTACCAATCTCATAATTGCATACTCAGAAGATCAGTTAGACCCAAAGGGAAAGACTACTAGCAAGCACGCCCACACATCTGTAAATTTTGACCCAAATTAAGATACCTATTACGGGGCACTATAAACCAAGAAAATATAATGGGATCTGTGATATGTAATGAAGGTAATACAATGTAACTCCTATGTCAATCAGCGAATGAACAAATGAATCAAATTTTAAGATCACCCATTTTATGCATCTAGAAACTAATACTCCCTCCATCCCAATTTATGTGGTGGTGTTCGACTCACCGCGGAGTTAAAGAAATAAAGGATAACTTTTGAAACTTGTGGTCTAAAACAAGCTATAGATATTTGTGTGGCTATAAATCATCTTATTAAGGGTAAAGTAGGAAGTTTAAAGTTTAAATTGTTTCTACCTAAGGAAGTATGACATTCTTGTTGGGACAGACCAAAAAGGAAAGTATGACAAATAAATTGGGACAACCAAGAATACACAAGATCTGATAGTACCTGTAACATAAAATAGGAGTCTATCCTCCACTTGTTAATGCATGTAGTAGAACTCTTAGGAGTAAGTTTGACATAAAACCATGTAAAGTCAAAACACATACCAACTTCCAAAAAGTTTCCTTTGGAACTGAAATCACCCACATAAATGACATGGAAAGCAATTTTCTTACCCGCGTTACAATGACAAGTTTCTCAATAGCCTCATCATTAACATCCATCTCATCATCTTCCTCGTCAACTCTTCATAGAGCAAGACCACCAAGATGTTAACAACACAGTTAGCAATAGAGAAACAGTAAGAGATATTTGCTCATATAAGTTCGTCCTCACAGTACAATTTTGTTGTTCCATGTGGAGTTAACAAAGAAAATCAGATCACAGTGAAAGCAATTATGATAAATTCTTTTTCTTCCTTAGTCTCATCTCAGCAGATAACAGTGAAAGCAATTATGATAAATTCTTTTTCTTCCTTAGTCTCATCTCAGAAGCTCATAATTATATATCATTACTTAACATTTTTAACCTATTTTGGGCAAGCAGATGACCTCCTACCAGCTATAGCAAGAAGATTAACACACAAAAGCTATATATGTTTTATTTATGCCCGCGAGCAGAACCAATCTTCTTCAGATACACACCAATCCCCAACCTATGAAGGAACAAGGATATAAGTATAGCAATATGAGTTTAGGGGGGCCAAATGTTAAAAATGCACATAAAACAGGCTTTCACCTTGCCCTTACTGATGAACAAGAAGACACCTATAATATGAACCAAAGTGGTTAGATTCTGGTAGGAAAAAGATGATAAGAGTTGCAATGAGTACAAGCAAATGGAACATAATATGACCCAATAGCGTCAGATAAGCTGAACAAGTAAACAGCAGAGCCAGTCATCCACATATCCTTGTATCGATACAAGACTGCAGAACCAGCTATGAAGCAAACCAAGACCAAGACCAGCCCAATTCAGGTAAGAAAATGCACAAATCAAGCTACAGCAATCATCTATACCTTCCACTCAAAGAGAGCTGGTCCTTTTTATGCTCAAGCTCCATCTCTTCATCAAGCATAAAAGTGCTTGAGAAATCATTAGATAAGTCATCTACAGCATCTGGTGCCATCACCATTCTTGAATCACCACTTCCTTTGTCAACTCTGAGAGTTGAGCCATGGAACCCAGATTTCTTCCTACTGTTTTCTGCTTTACCAAAAACTGATACTTTTTTAGCCTGTATCTCTAATAATGGAAGCTCACCTACAGAAAGATTTTCTTGGGAAGATGTCACTTGAGTTCCATCCTCTTTATTTTCATTGACCTCCTCATTTTTTATATCGAGAACAACCTTCCCCACTAGGTGTTCCACCGGAGACAAAGGGGATGATTTCTGATCAGCACTAGCTGAAACCCACTTTGACCATTCATCACGTCTTCTCAACTTGTCACCCTACAGAAATTAAGCAAACTACACATGAACAAATAAAGACAAAGGTACAGAATGTAAATGTAAAAGGCAAAGAGGAAAGACAAAAATGTATTGATAGGATAACTCAAAGCTCTTTGCACTAGCAAGTTGCCAAATTCGACTCAATACTTTACCCAAGTTGCAAATTTGTCTTCGAATGAATTTTAGTTCTTATTGCAAATAATGGTGTGAAGGGAGTAGTAGAGGAAAGACCACGGAGGGGGAGTGGAGAGCAATTAAGAAAGAAAACCAAGGAGGGAAACCTATAGGTTAGAATTTTACCTTTCTGTTTCTTTTGTTTTTTGTTTCACCTTTGCCTTACTTTTTCTTTTATTTTCTTCTATTTTCTTCTGATGTTCTGAGTTTCTTTACTTCATGTTTAATCCAAAAAAGCCATTATAGGTCTTAGTCTGCCCAACAATACACCAAGCGACCATTTTGGAACCAATATTAAATGTTGAGGATGCAATATGAACAAAGTTAGTTTGAGGAAAATAGGAACTTATATCTAAAAATTAATTGGGAAATTTACTCTTTTTCCTGCAACGGGAAAAGGAAAGAGCCAGTTGGAGACCCCAGCAAAAGGGAGAACACTTTACCTTAACTTCAACAGTGCTTGAAGCCTGCAATGCATCAATGATAAATGCTATATCTGTACTCATTTTTTTAACCTGAAACACAAATGAAAAAGAAAATGATAGATGCTTAAATGTGTCACACCAAGTAAAAGAAAACAATATAATGGACTAATCCAACTACAGGTTTCACACATGAAAAAATTTTATACAAAATTTGATGGACTTCAATATAGAAACAAAGCACTGCAATGGTGCAACCTATCAGTCACTTTAGCATAAATGTAAGCATATCTGAGAAGTTTTGAGATTGTACCCTTTTGAAATCGGCAATAATAGAGATTGGAACCCATCCTTGATCATCCATCAAGGAAAGCAAGTAGTGATCACTCTGCAAATTCTGATCACTGCCAAGAAAAAGCCACATGTTCTCGATATCAATATATAGTAGTCAAAATTTTGTAGGACATATTGCAGGTAAAGTAATTGACCCACAAGAGTTGTATCTCTGCACCAATAATTCTTGAAATGAAATGTACTAATAAAAAAACTACTACTTGAAATGTAGATCCATTAAAAGGAGGGATCATTCCTCCTGTTTTCTTAAATTGTTTGGATAAGGTGAAGGTGAAGATTTTATTTAAAAGAGTATCAAGCTGATACTGTGAAAATACAGAGATAGACCTAGATTAAAAACTTTAAAATACTAAGCAGTCTAGAGTGTCCAGCATGTTATGAATTTTATGAACTTCAAATCTTTATTTTAAAGGAGTTTCCATGAAAAAGCTATTATTCCTGCCCTTCAAGCTTCCAGTACCACAATCGGGGAATAATTACATCTATTAAGAAAACATAGTGACAACCAACATAAATAAAACCTTTTCCTGATATAGTACCTGAAATAGTACTCAATTTGCTTAATTATGCTCTCTCTCAAAGCTAATGTAGGTGATGGTGGAGTAGAGGCTCCGGAGCTGACAGGATGTGGGACAAAGAAAGGTGGGTAAGGCACTCTTACAGAACCTGGAGATGGAGGAAGAAAGTATATAGCTCCTGGAGGACCTGTAAAATAGCCAATGGTCATTTCCATGTAAAAACAAATCGAAAACTAAGAATAACTTCATGAATAAATAAACAACTACTAACGGTGATAGAGATGACAGCACATAAGAGATGGAATACCAGCTGTTTAGGGGAAGGCAGTGAGAAGGACTATATTACTGTCATCACAAAGGTCCAGTAAGTATAAGGGAGGGAGAAATAGGAGCAGTACCAAATTGCTAGTTACGTGCTAAAAGACCAGCGGAAGTAAAGCTACATTTAATGGTAAAACCATATTCCCTTTTTTTGTATTTCAAGAATGATGTGGTCACTTATTCTGAAAACTAGTTATGCGTAAATTACCTGAAAAATTTGCACCATCTATGTAACCCGGAGCTGGAGCAAAAAATTGAGGCCTTAGGAAAGGCCTAAGTCCCATACTCTGTTGTAACTGAATGTCATCTTTAGAACCTACAGGACGCTGACTAGACAAGGCTGGACTAAACTGCCCACCACGTTCTTGTGTATTAGGTCTTCCTCTGTAGAATTTGGCATCGAAGTCATTTGGATCCCCTCGTGATGGGGGACGAAACCCACCATTTATAGGGGGTACAAAAGCTTGGGCTGCAGCGTCACCATCAGACCTGGCCACGTGACCTTCAGCTCCAGGGAAAGGCCCTCGAGGGTGCTGATAAGCATACCCCGGAAGAGGAATATGTGGCATAGGTACCATATTTTGATAAAAAGGAGGAAATCCTGGCTGGTGGTAAGCCAAGGGTACAGGAAATGATTGCCCACCATTTTGGTTGTGCCTGGGGCCTGCTTTATGTTGAGGTGCGGATGATGACTTATTTGACGATTTGGCACTAGAATATCCATGGAACTTTGGCTGCTCACCTCGGAGCTGCAAGACAATATACCATCAAATATATTTCATGGTAATACATTCTAATTCATGGTAATAGAGAATAAATAAATCTAAAGAGGCGTAATGACCAGACAAAGTTGCAACATGATAAATCTATTTGAATCATACCAGTTATGGTGCACTACCTGGCAAAGTTTTCGAACAAAGGATAATTTGACACACGGTACAGATGGGAAAAAGGCACATATGGCAGATAAAACGGCAACTATAAAAATATGCCTTAATCTCAAACTACATGGCATCAGCTATATAAGTCCTCAATATCTACCCGGGTGACTTTCAGCAGCAGCACGCCTCTTTTCTAGCATGTTCAGCAACACCACCCCTTTTCTGGTAACCAATTTGGCCTTATTCCAATGGCAACGGGCCTCTTTTCGATAATCTGATTGCACTAGACCTATTCCAACCAGCATTCGGCCATTTCAGGCAGCAATGTTTTTCCGAGACTGTACCAACAATGCCTCTTACATCAGACGCACCACCGACACTGCCTCTTCAGGTCATTCGACCACTAACTTTTTCAACTTCTTCAAATATCTATATAAAATGGTCACTTCCTTGAACTGAGAGGGTGTGTTAAAAGTGGATAATTCAGAATATTCTATAACCATATGATTGTTAAAAGTTAAAGGAATTATCAAAAATATTGTATAAATCATTCGTAATGGTTATGTCATAATTACTAAAAACCTACTTTTTCAACAAAACAATTAGTAATCTTGTAATTAGTAAAATATTCCTTCTTTGATCTATCTCAAAACTCCTACATAATACCGGTATACTGTCAACTAACAATGCCAATAAGAGTTTTCTCAGTTTTCTTTCTTCATAATTGTACCTTCCGGAATTCATTCACTTCCGGATATTCTCTTGTATATGTCGGCTTTATTGACATCAAAATGATGCAAATCTAATTCCTCATTGAGTTTTTTTTTCCTTCAGCAGTAAATTGAAATATTTTGTTATTCCACCAAATAATTTTAAGTGTGTAAAATATTTACTAGTTCTATCCCAAACAATGTCATAGTAAAAGTATCGTCATTCCAATGCTCTACATTTTTCTCCTTCTTTCACCATGAGTATATGCATTCAAATGTGACACATGAATATTCTACACTGTCAGTATATAAAAGGAAGTTCTTTTTTTCAGAATGGTAACAGTAACTGACACAGTATACAAATTTTCAATCGAGTAATAAAAAGTAAACCTTCTCAGAAGCAGCATTGCGGCTATCAGTCTCCGCCAGCGGAGGAAGTAACGGAGACTTGGCGTTGGAGTTAGAATCACTAGTCTTAAGCATCTGCTGAGCATCAGATAGGGCCGGCCATGAAGCAGAATCGGTATCCGCCGCCGGCGACGAAGGAGTATCGTTCGCCGCCGGAGTCTTCCACGGCGACTTGGGAGGCTCGCTCACCTCCTTCTGATCATCTACACTAGTCTCATTCTCCGCCATGCTCAAAAACTACAGTTACCCTGTATCGCAGAAAAATTAGAAGCTTAAAACGGATAATAAATTGATAGAATGCGAAAAAAAAGATGTGATTTTTTGGGGATGCCGAAGAGGAGGCGGAGCTATACGGCGGCGTGTGGTGGCTGTGGCGTTGAGAGTGAGTGACTGAGTTGTAAAGAGAGAGGGACACTAGGGTTGAGGGGTGTTTTCAGACAATGAGACAAGAATTGAATGTTGTCAAACAGCGACAGTATTAAATTCAGTACTCAGTAGTGTGTGAATTATTTTTACTAATTACTTAGTATTTAATTTGGTAAAGAGAAAAAATAAAAATGAAATAGTAACTGTTTTTTTTTTTTTTGGCTCTTAATTATCCGAAAGAGATAAGATTGGACTATCCAGATGATAAATCCAATTAAAGATACTTTCCCTGCTATTTTGTAGGACCAATTAATTTTAGTAGGATTTATTTTTTATTTTAATTAGTATTTGATTCTTTACTTTACTTTTCTTAGTTTCGGGTACAAGTCTAATGGTGGCAAAATAGAGAAAATAATAGTTATTCATCCATATAATTCACTAAAAAATGGGTTAATAAAACAATGAACTTTTTAAAAATGAGTCAAATATAGATAGAAACCATTTTATCTAAATAAAAATAAATAATTAATAAATAACCAATGAGTTTAACTTTTACATTTGTAAAGACTCAAATTGGAGGTTCCTCACACTAAAGTGTGAGAGGCTAGAAATTTCCATATTCAAAAAACCATGGATAATATGGATATCCATATAATCTGTCAGTTACTACATTTTCTATTCGTATTTAATATAGATGGATCGGATAATTTATCCGTTTTCACCCGTCCATATCTGACCCGACCAGCCCATTTACCCAAAAGGTACGGGGTGAAATTCAAAAATAGCCAGATTTATAAATGATAATTGAAAAATAGCCACGGTTTCAAAAGTAATCGAAATTTAGCCACTTTTTATGTAAAGATAAATCTGCACGAAAACGCTGTTCAAAATCCGAAAAATATTCTAGCATAATATACTGGACTTCCAGCATAATATACTGGAGTTCCAGCATAACATGCTGGAAATTCATACACAGGTGCACCAATCTCCAGTATATTATGCTGGAACCTTCCGTATTGCAGCAAATTAGTCGCTATTTTTTAACGACTTTGCAAATGCTGGCTATTTTGCAATTACTAGTCCAAAAACTGACTAGCCCGTGCTATTTTAACCAAGGTACAATCTTGTATTTTAGATTATGTTTTTAACTCCTTATATGGAAATACGGAATGAACCCAATAATATATATATGCGAGATTGTCATTATATAAGGGGTGTCTTACTTTGAAATGTAGAGTGTACGTCCTAAGCCATACTACAAGTGTATTTAGCATAGTCACTTTAGAATTAATTCTTAGTTTAATTGCATTGTATTATCATAAATTCACTTTCAAAATTTAATTCTTGTTTCAATGCAAGGGTGTGGTCGTGTGGATACGTCTAGGGGTGTCAATGGTTATTTAAAAACCGATTGAACCGACCGAATCGAACCGATTTTTAGGTTTTTTTTTAATAAAACCGTAGGTTTTTATATATATCTATAACCGTACCGAAAAATTAGGGTAGGTTTTTTATTTTATTTAAAGAACCGAAAAATAACCGAACCGAACTGGATATATATATATATATATATATATTAAGCTTTTGGTCTTAGGCCTTGGGCCTTGAGCCTACAAGTATTTAGTATTCAAAGTACCTACTTTTAAAACCTATTTTCCCCAAGACTATTTCGATTGGAATTTGGAAACACTGCCGGCGTCCTTAACTTTGCAGCAAAGCACAAGGTTTGATTTCTCTTCTCTTGGATGCCTATTAGTTTCTCTTATTCGACTATGCATATTGCATAGTATATCAAAATAAAGTTTGCACAAACAACTCAAATTGGCAATATCAATTTTAAATAAGTACTTCTGTTAAGTTATTACACGCAACCTTGCTACTAGTATAAGATGCTTTCATATGCTACCATCATTGATTTGTTAGTCTTATTCTTTCTGAAATTTTATCATTTAAAGACTTAAAAATATAGAATATCTACGTGTATAAAAACGCAATAACTAGTAGTAAAATATCTTACATTGTCCTTTATATTTTGTTATAAAGCACTATTTTATTTATATTTTTTATAAGGAGAATTTTTCACTAGAGCAATATTGCTATCACAGTTTAAAGACATATATTTTGAACTTGATAATCTTACTTTTTGGAATCTTAATTATTTCTTTTAGTTACTAATAACTTAGTTTTGATTTATTATAACAGGTTGAATTTATAGAGCAATCTCTTCAACAGAATATCTCTAATCACGGCAATGCGAAAAATAGTACAACAGGTTCTAAAGCAGGTATTCCTCCCCGACCACCTCAAAAACGAAAAAAAGACCAATCAAAAAGTCCCTCAAAAGAAAAATAGTGATCATGGGTCAGAAGCTTGGCATCATTTTACTAGAATTGAAGAAAGTGAACCAGTTAAGGCTGCATGTAATTATTGTAAAAAAGAAATTGTCGCTTTAGGGCGAAATAGCACTTCGGGCATGTGGAACCGTCTAGATAGGTGTAAATTATATCCTTACAGAAGAGAAAAAAATCAAAAATCTATAATTGATTTTACCATCAAAGGCGAGGAAGGTGATAAAACAGAAGTTGGTAAACTAAGGCCTCTTAATGTAGAGGAAATTAGAAATGCCCTTGCTGCCATGGTTATTATTGATGAATTGCCATTTAAGATTGTAGAAGGGAGGGTTTTAAGAGATATAGTAGAGTACTTGAACCTAGATTTATCATCCCTTCAAGGAATACAGTTGTCTAGAGCTTTATATGAAAGAGAAATCCATTTTGAAAACGATAATTAAAAATCATCGTGTGTGCCTTACCACAGATACTTGGACATCAATTCAAAATCTTAATTACATGTGTCTCACAGCACATTGGATTGATGATGATTGGTTGTATCAAAAGAGAATTTTAAACTTTCAGCTTATTGAGAGCCATGCGGGAAGAATTATTGCTAGTTCTATTGAGGACTGTTTAATTAATTGGGGAATTGAAAGTGTTCTTACAGTAACGGTAGACAATGCAAGTTCTAATGATACATGCCTTGATTACTTGATGAAGTGTGTTAAGTGAAAAGATTCAATTTTAGACAACAAATACATGCATGTCAGATGTGCAGCTCACATTGTTAATTTAATTATAAAAGAAGGTTTAGCAGAGCAAGATAAGGCCATTATTAGAATTTGAAATGCAATAAGATATGTGCGATCCTCTCCTGCCAAGTATAATTTGTTCAAAAAATGTGTTGAGAAAGAGAAGATTTCATGGAATCATCTTGTTTGTCTTGATGTTGATACTAGATGAAATTCCACATATAAAATATTGGAACATGTTGAGAAATTTGAGAAAACTTTTGTGAGGATGGAATTAGATGATCCAAATTATAAGAAGTACTTTGATGGAGGTTATAATGGAGCCGGAGATGGAAAAAAAGAAACAAAAAATAATAAAGATAAAGGTCAAAACTTATTGGATTTTCCAATATGAATGATGTTAGTAATTTTTGTGAAGAATTGAGAGATGGGAGGAAGAAGTCAGTGAATAAGAAAAAAAGAGATAAGAAAATCATTGGCCCTCCTAAGCTGAAGATTTTCAAGCTGCAAGATGCTTCGCAAAGTTCTTAAAGTTATTCTATAATGTGACATTGAAGTTTTCAGGCTCATTGTATACTACTTCTAACACTTTTTCCGTGAATTGGTTGCTGTTTATTCTGCAATTGGATCTCTTTCCCTTAATGAGGATGATGGCATGAGAAGCATGGCACTAAAAATGATGGAGAAATTCGATAAATATTGGTCCTTTAATAGTAAGACCAATTATTTGTTGTTTGTTGCTATTGTGTTGGATCCACGTTTCAAGTTAGAATATGTTGAGTTTTGCTTTAGTGAAATGTATGGTCATGATAATATCTTTATAAAATCAAGGATTGCTAGTGTGACAGAGTGTCTGGATAAGTTGTATCATGAGTATAAGAGATTATATACATTTGAACACGAGAAATTTGAAGATTTAACTTCTAATGAAGTTTCTCATGGCATGAATATTCATGAATGTGATAAAAGTTTAGACTTTCTTGACTATCAATTAGCAAAGCACATAGAATCAAAAAAGAAAACAGAGAATGCATCAGAGGTAGCCAAATACTTGAATGATGTGCTGGTTGAAAAGAGAAATGAATTTGATCTATTGGCTTGGTGGAAAGGAAATATAACTAAATTTCCTATTCTCTCAAAGTTGGCCAAGGATGTTCTAGTCATTCCAGTGTCTACTGTATCGAGTGAACAAGCTTTTAGTACTAGTGGTCGTGTAATTGATACATTTAGGAGTTCTTTAACTCCTAAAACTGTAGAAGCTCTTATATGTTTGCAGAACTGGTTGCGTTCTACTCCTATTGATTTACGTGAATCTCTGGGTAATATTGAAAGTCTTGAAGAGATTGAATAAGATAATAAGATTTTCTTTATTAATTTAATTATTTTATTTATTAGTGTGAAAGATTACAATATTCATTAAGTTAATTTTATTTGCTTTACTCTTTGCAGATTGTTTGAATTCAGCACCAACCATTATTGCTAATTTTGATGACTAATTGAGGTTCATGACTCACTTGTAAGAGAACCAAATTAATTAGTTTCATCACATATTTTTTTTAATAAAAAAATGACAATTTACTTTTCTCTTTCTTTACAGATAGAAGGTGAGTTGATGTTCCTGATGGTATAGTCGCTGCCTCACTGCCTTATTAGATCAATTATAAGTTCTGTTATTTTATGTAATTTACAAAGTTGACTGTTAACAATCAAATTCTTATATTATAGGTGCTTGGTTGCAGGTGTCAATGACAGTGTGTCAATGTAATAGTGCTATTTTGCTTTACTTTTTGTTACGTGCAGAATTTTAGCATGTCTTGGTTAAGCTGAAGCAGCTGTAACTGGAAAATGGTGGGTGTTGACATCCATATATCCCTCCTTTCTGCAGTATTATCCAATTTGCGCATGAACTACATTTTAGCTTTCTAAACAAGTATATCTGATAGCCTTTAGTTGTTTATTTGTCTCCGTCAGCTTAACGTCTTTTTAAACTGTCTGGAGTTTTTGCTT